ACTGCTCGCCGCTCCCCGGCCGCCCCCGCCCCCAGAGCTCCCTCTTTTTTTTAATTAATCTATTAATTATTGAAAGACACATTCGCATACACATACGCTGGCTAATAAAATTGTGGGCTCAAGGCAACACTACAAGCCCTGTCTTCTGTTTTTTTTCATTCGGTTGGGTTTTTTTTAAGGAAGAAAAATACGCCTGTCAAGGTGGCTCAGGGAATTTCAAAATGAAGCAGAGAACAAAAGTTTCCTGGAACGAGGAAAAAGCCGGTCCCACCTCGGTCCTGCTGACTTGTTGGCCCCAAACCACAAATGCGTTTGACCCAAAGCAGCAAACAATTCCCTCTTTTCCTGTCCTCCATCACACCCTGGCTAGCACATGCCCTGCCAGCTGCAAGGGTCTTGCAAATGAAGCCCATTTTACTTTCACCCCATATCTATTTCTGCATGGAAAAGGTGGTCCAATTTCATTTAAAAAAGAAAAAAAAACAAACACGGTGTATTTGGTAGATGAGACCTATAAAATCAGAGTTTTAACAGTGCATAAACTGGCTATTCCTTCTACACATATAAAATCCAAGCTGTGATTGATTCTTCTCCCTGTTAAGTAAGCACCATGAAAATACAGCAAGGGCTATATTTGATGTCGCAGCTACAATTCTACCGTACCAACAAAAACGAAAAAAAAAAAAAAGACAGATTTTTGTGTTTTAGAGCCCAGCTCCTAGGATTACAGCAAGGGCAAATCAAGAGTAGCACTCACTCCAGACACTTGTCTCAAGGTGTATGCAGGTGGAGACAGATTTGACACGTACAGAAAGTGTGGGTCAGGCATCTTTTTCATCACCTAGGTCCACTCCTTCTACACAGTCCAGAGGAATCTAGAGAACCTGGTGACTATTTCCCTTCACAGCCCCAGTGGTATAATACTTATTATCATCTATGTTATCTCTCTGTCTCTACAGTCTACATCAATTAGTGCTCATACTCTTAATCCCATTAATTTCAGTAGACTGCCATATGGCTATATAAGGAGAGGTAGTGATCAGCCAAATAAATACTCTGAACGCCAGGAATCAAATTAGTTCATAATGGTCTTGCCAAAAGTACTGTGAAATGTGTAAATGGCCGCTATTGCTCATCAATTTTTCAAAACTCACAATCCTTCACATTCTATAGCCAAAATATAATGGAAGATATATAGGCATTCCTAATGTCATCCCAAACCCCTATGAACTACAAAGTGACATCACAAGAACACGCCACAATTTGGATGCTACTGGAGGTAACTTAAAATCATTATACTAATTCATTTCCAATACAAAAATCTAGATTCTTCTGCGATTTGTCACAAAAGCATGCTGAAGATCAAACACCTTTCATTGTTCAGTCACAAGAACATGTACAACGCCATAAAAATAGATGTCACAAGTATGATATTTTTTATGATTAGAAACACAGAGTCCTTTCTACTTTATTAATATTTTCATTCTAGATGCAAACATTTGGCCCAAGTCGGATGCTCTAGGAGGTTTTGTGTTCATGAACACTTTTCTCCTTTTTGAGGTGTTTCAAGGGATTGAGACCAAAAAAATTTTTTTTCTCATCACTGTCTCACATACCAGTGTTAAACAGCCAGTAGATATATGAGTATGAGGAAAGACAAGAGCAGAAACAGATCAGTGTGGTTCAATTAAATTCACAAGTTTTATCTGATCCAATTTTTCAAATTGATTTAAAAGCAAGAAACAAGCTTTAAGTATTTACAGATAAATCCTGTGATTCCTGTGTGAATCACTTCATTCAGGTTTATATTTTCACAGTATTCAAAGAGCAAAGAGTATCTAAAAGATACTATGTTCCCTGTGCTCCTTCATATTCATAAGGGATACTATTATTGGCAGAACAAAGAGAGAATATGTATATGTTATTATCTTCAATAGCAGTATTGTATTAAGAATATTATTATAGCATAGCAAAGGATCTGTAAGGTATGCTATTATACTGATTTGTTCTGTTCTGCAGTACAGAATGCGGAGGAGAAACATGCACATTATTGTTTGTCTGCGTGTACAATGCCAGAATACATGACAATTTAATACATTTTCATGCATGGTGACATAAAATTCAGAATGCCTAACTTATGTTGCTATGCCCAATATTAATTTATGCTACCCCACAATTGCTGCAATTCACACTGGCAGAGAGTCTGGCCTCAGTCCAACACTAATCTTCCTGCTGTAATCAAGAGTTCTGTGCAGAAAATAAGACTGCACTACAGCTTGGTACTTTTTGTACTTCTAGACCACAAATTACTCCATTTCTCTTTTAGTATTCTCTTTTTTTACTCTTCTGCTCCTCCCTCCTTGCTTCAATTTTATTTCTATTAGCCTCTCAAGGCATCTCAGCCAACTTTCCATAAGATCAGGAACTCCCTTTAAATCAAGCGAAATGTTGCAGTAGCGGGCACTGGGAGATAAATCAAGTGAAAGGACTATGGTTACTATATCATTTCAAATCTGCTGATATGAATATTCTGTTCAGAATATGTACTTCCCTTTTTTTTTGTTTCTGTTCTCTGCTGATTACAGTGCTGGAGACCATTAGGTACCAAAGTAGCAATGAATTTTTTCTCTCCACAACTAAGTTTTTTTCTCCCAGTGTTTATATTGCTTTAGGGAGTTCATATTTTATTCATATTTTACTAGCCAGGCTCAGTAAGACATCCCTGTTAAAGAATTTGGCTCTAACACTACTCTTTTGAATACAACTGGCACTACATAATGAGGTACTCAACAGAATAAAATATACCATATCCTCAATTAGTTCTTACACATAACACACATGAATAGCACATCCGTTACTACTTGCACTGCAACAGGCTAATCAAAAGAAATTCAGGCTCTGGAGAAGAGCAGGCCTTTTATACTTTCTCGGGCAAGTAAGCACAACCACTGCCATTTACCATTGAGCTTAGGCTAAATAGCAGTAAAAACACGAATGATATTTATATCTGAAGAATAATTTCTTCCATCAGCACATGGACCTCTCAGAAAATAGGATAAAAATACCATGTATGGGGTTGTTTTGGACTCAAACATTTCTCTATTCATTTGGGGAAGAGGACTCATAAACAGGAAGACTCTTCAAATCAGCAAAAAGAAAAAGGATGGCATGGAGAGAAAGCCTCTCAGTAAGATACTGCTTGAGATTTGAGAGCCCTTACTTTTGTTCTTGGTTCCACCACAGATTTCCAAGACATACTTGGCCACATCACTCTCTCTCCCCCACCCCCCTTTCCCAGTATAACAAGGATAATTTCACTTTCTCTCTCTAACAATTTGCCTTTATTTAGAACGGAACCATTCTGGAGCAGGCAATGCCCCTTTTTATGGATGTGCCAAGCAGGAGCAAGCACTGTGGATCTCCAGTTTGGACACTGTTATTGTAATTAACTCATGAAGGGAATGAATTGGAGTCATAGAATTACTCACATTACTGCGTCACTGGATTAACTCCATTGGCATATTCAAAAATCAGTGTATTATTTCTGCATATGCAATTTTCCAACTATGCAAACAGTAAATGCAATAATTATAAACCTTGGAAAGATCAGGTGCTAAATTCTGGCAGGCATATATATTTGTCCAGATAAGGTAACAGTCTGAGGGCATGGCTGGTTAACGTCTCACTGAGATTTTATCAGGAATACTCTGGAGGGAAATCAGATAGTGGGCTAGCAATTAATGTAATTTTGTACAAGTAAGTTAACAGTGACTTGCAGAACAACTGAAAAGGAAAAACCTTTAAGACAACAGCTCAAAAATACTCCCGTTAAAATTATCATGACACACTAGCTATAAGTTCAAGTATCTCATACTCCAATAATGTGTGGTAGCAAACCGTTATACGAAGAAACACGTAAAGAAAAGAATTTTATACATTCAAGTATGGCAGCATGTTGTTTCACATTAAATATAAACATATCTTTAAATGTTTAGGCAAAAAAAAACATTTCTATGGACTCAAGGCTTTTAGCAGGTACATGTTGCTCAAGTTCTTATAGCAAATATATTTTTTATAACTCGTATTTATGACATCAGTAGGAATGGAACAACAGGTTAATGAAAGAACTGTAGGATCAAACCAGCAATAGTGGATAAGTCACTACATCTGTAATGCAACAAATCTTACTAGAAGGCTCCGCTTACTCTTACAATTATACTTGCATTAGACAAGAAACTTGAACTTACTGGATCATACCGATTCCTGATGAAGATTCTGGCAAATAACAATAGGAGAACCATGTTTCGCAGGTAGCAACTGCTTTGGTTCACAATTTGGTGGTAAACAAATACAGCTTCCAGATGAACCGTTGGGCCAAAATCAGTATTTTCTGCTCTGCCGTCGTCATCTTGTCACTCTGCTGATGAAGACAGAAAAAACAGGACAGGTCATTTTGTGGTACCAGATGAGACTGGTCAAGAGAGAGGAAGCAATCTGATTCTGACAGATCTGAGCTCACGACATATCAGAATTATTTCAGAGGATTCAGACATGAGGCAAAAGTTTTGACTGTCCTCTTTTCTACAACCATAAAAGCACAAATCCTGGAAGAATGCATGTTTTTTAAAAAATTCATGTTTCCATAAAGAGAATTATATTGACAAAAATGAGAATCTATTCAACTTGATTCCTAACAGCTTCAAGATCAGATTCAGAAGGGAGATAGATGGCTAGAAGTTTTACATGCCATTTGTATAGATCCACATGGGAAAGATTATAAAACAAACTGTTCCTAAATAAATTATATACTCATAAAAGTTCATTAAATCTCTTCAGAGATATCTATTTCAGAGATATTGTTATCTAATCTCAGAGGTGTACAAACCACAAAGTTAACATAGAGAAAAATGTTCTCTGCTTGAGTATACATGAAGAATTAACAGACCTTGGAAGGGTGCAACCAAACTGACTATTACAAAACGTTGGAGAAAAATAGATTTAAGATTATCAAATAAATTAAATATTCCTGTGGCTAATTTTGGCAGTATAGAAAGAATGCTATGATAGTGTGCTACTCTTTATTTTGGTGTGAGGCAGATGTATAGCTGTTTTGTTGTTGTTCTCAGTGTAGTATTTAGCAAGGAAAAACTTTCCAGAGTAGAAATGTCATTTCTAGAGGGCTGCCACCGAGAAGTAAACTGGTCTGGGGGTTAGGGATTAGACAGGAATCAAGGCATTCAATGTATGATGAAGGCAAGTGTAACATAAAATTGCTTGAATACTATGGTATGTATGGAGATGATATAAATACTTTGGAAACATTCCCCTTGAAGGAGACCCACATTTTACGACATTGGCGATCATTTTCAGTAATACCTCACTCAAGTACTATGCTAATTAACACAGTAAACTAATATACCCTGTACAATTAGACCTAATCTGCTGAATAAAACTATCCAGACTGTAGTCTCTTCTTCAGAGAAAAGAGGAAACAGTGTTTTGGGAATCACATACTGTCCTGCCAGTGTTTCTCCTCATGTTCGGGCAGTTAGCACATCCAGGTGAGGGAAATAATTACAGCCAGAAGCACCCTTTCTTGGTGGATGCAGCAGGACAGGTAAAGCTGTAAGATAAAACCATCATAGCCTAAGTAGTACAGCCTAAGAAAGAATTCCCAAATGGGGTACATCATACTGGCAGCCCAAATAAATAGACTACACATACAGATCAGATAGATGGAGCTGATGTACTCTGGGGATAGAGTAGCTCCTCCGAAAGGGGATCCTTGAAAAATCCCTATTTAAAATTAGCCCATTCCTACACCTCACCCTTACCCCAGGACAGTAAAAAAGTTGATTCCTTAGCCAACCCTAAACTTAGAGAACTCTTGTTCTCAGCTGCAATTTACTGTAGCAAATTCCTCATCTCCCTGTGTATAAACCTGGGAACTCCTTTTGCATTGTGAGGTGTCTCAGGTGCCTACAGCGGAAGGCAAACAGGGGCAGCAGTTTTCATCTGGAGACAATAAACTAAAACAGCTGCAGTTTATGAATACAATTATCTTTTGTATGAGATGCCGGAAACTGCATTAAAATTAGCTCTTTTAAGAATTTGTCACTATACTTGTATCAAAACTGTGTCAGAAATTAGGAAGTGGAAATTCTAATCCAAATGTTAGCCTCAGTGTGCAAGCTGGGGTCAAAAGTCTTAATGAGCATTTTGCTAAACTCAGAGTTAAGTAAGTGGATCTGAGGGCCTAGGTTGTTTAATAAGGAGTAATTTATTCCCCCATGCTCAAGTCAGAAGCCACACTGAATTGTTCAGGATTAGGCCTGTTCAGCTAATTAGTTGGGACTAGAACTTTTAGTAGTTAGCAAGTAACTTGCTCTATGGGATACAGAGCTAAGCATACAATTTATTTGGGAATAGTTTGTTTTATAATCTTCCCCATTTCAATCTCTATAAATGGTACATAAAGCTATTAGGCACCTAGCTCCCATCTGAATCCACTACAGATCAAGTTGAAAATCAACTCTCATTTCTGTCAACATAATTCTCCCACCCCACTGGCTGAAAGGGCTTAATCCTGAAGAATTCAGTGAGGTTTCTGACCTCAAGATGGGCTATAAATTCCTCTTTGCTACCTGAAAGGGCCTAATCTACATAGGCCCTTAGATCCCCTTACCTGACTCTCAGAGCTTAACAACACTCCCGTCCTGAACACAGTAGTGTTTCACACAAGGGATTACTGATGTAGCAGCTGTTGTGAAAGCATCCTCTGCACTAACTGCACCCTGTATATTCACCCTACTTCTCTGTGCCACCTTCTCAACACAGTATGAAATGGATTAATCGATGAACATTGCACACAGGCACCAGGCTAAGAATATAGCAGTTTCTATTCACAAGCAAAAATAACACACTGAGGCTAGACTGAGGCTATTCCCTAAACATTAAAATATCACGGTCTGTTGGCTGTCTTGTCATATCATTGTCTTTCTAATCTGTTGAACATGCACTCTCTTAGGTAGAATAATTTTACATCATTACAGCTATTAAAAAAAAATAAACAACAGTTACAGGAATAGGCTCCCTTCTGATTAAAACGACCTTTACAATGCAAACTCATGTTCAGGAACGTTCTTAAAGAGCTTTAATAAAGCAACAGCCAAGAGGACTAGTGTGTAAAAATCCAGCATATCTTTTTACTGGGACAGGCTTTTATTTCTCTCAGCCATGCATATTCCAGGCAGCCACCTGCAGCTATTCTAGGAAAGTATTAGAAAGTAACATCTTCCATTTTTCCCCTTCCTGAATGAAAACAAAAAAATGCTGAGTTTCTTCAAGCAATTGCCCTAAAACAGAGAATGAATACTTGAGAACAAATTTAGTGCTGATGAAGGTGCTCTAGAGACCAAAGTTCTCTCTTTAGCTATGTCAAGTATCACGAAAAGCAACACACTACATTTCTGGGCACTACTGTCCTATGATGCCTCTGTGCTGACTTGATCAGGGAGAAGGTTCTGTGATTATTTCACGTACCCTACGATGAAACGCTTGTGAAACTCAGCTAGCGCTTCATTAAGAGAACTACTCTCAGAGATGCAGCGACTGCTGCTCGTACTAAAATTAAGCAAATAAATTCAAGCTACTTCCCTCCTGAATGAGATCACCCTCTCAGAGATTAACTCATATACATTAAAGTACTTGGTTTAACATAGAAATCACAGCTTTAACTGATTAATCTTCATCTTGCTGAGTACCACCATATAGGCAAGCTTTGGACTGAAAAGCTATGAGAATTTGTTTGTACATTTTGTCCAAAGCTACAAGTGAAAAGATATGTTGGTTATGAATAAAAATTGATAACATAGAGACATCAGCAATTCTGGTGATCCTCAAATCTGCAGAGTCTAACTTGTTCTGTCAACTCTGGCCGTAACAGACACAACTTTACCATTTTGAATGGCATGCATGAACCAAGAGGGACAAAAACTATTCACCCCTTTTCCTAAGGCCTTCTATTCTTGCATCTATCTAACGGCACAAAATCAGATTTTTTTCTAAGGTACCCACTTAGAACGGGAGTCAATCAAAGACTTCTATTTGAAAACGTGCTTCTCTCACAGGGAATCCCTCTTGGACACGAACATGCAACAAATGAGAACATACCCCTGCAGGTAGAGGCATTAAAGTCACAAAGGACAAAGTCCTGAGCACTCTTACACAGGACAGGACATATAGGACCAACCCAACTGTTGCTTCTCTCCCAATTTTAATGAAGCTTTCTTTGAAGTTCAGAAAAACTGGCTTGAGAATTTTTTTTCCTTAAAATACTGAAGTTGCCCTATACTGTACATATCACCAATTAAAAGCTCCAAACACTAACACTGTGGTCTCAAAAACAGCCCAGATTCATCATCAGCTTACAGTTTAACAAGTTCAAGCCCAACTTTAAGCAAGATTTCTTTCACAGGTTAGGAAAGGGACAACTGGATCTCAGTAACTCAAGGACTGTTTTGCTTTGAACTCTGGGGTTCCTTCACATATCAAAATCAAATGCACAGATATGCATTATTTATCAATACTACTAATTATCAAAGCCATGCCATTTACAGATTGAACTAATGCCAAAAAAATTCAAATGGAAGGCATAAGCATGACCCACAATGGTTGTCCTGAAAAGTGGCGGGATTACACATGACAGTCTCACACACAGCCCAACCGAAGGGGTCTGAACCATCTGAATGTGTGTGCATCACACCTGGTGCTGAATTCTGTGCTCAGACCCCTTCAGTACAAAGTGATTTACTTGCAAAGAAGTGTAACTGTTTCAAGAAACGTCTGGCACTTCCCCCTCCTTTCCACAAAGCGGAATTGATACACTGCTGGTACCCACCTGCCTGTGAACATGCAGGCGTATGGACACATACACCGAGGCATATACCACCTGACTCACAGCGCTCTGAGGGTTTCCTGGGTGCATCCTTCCACAGAATTATTAAGTGACAGAATATGGTATTTGAATCACCTGTGGCAGCAGAAAATATCAGACTGTGATTTAAAAATAAAATATTAATAAAATTATTTCTGTGAAACGTATCTTAATTTTTAATTCACGTATTGCTCTCATTGGCAGTGGCAAAGGGGAAACAAAGGGCTAGCTGAAAATAAATCTGAAAGTGGCTCAAGTAGCCCAGTATAAATATCAAGTATCTGAAGGTAGGAATTAGCATTTTAATGATTGGAAAGTGAGTAGCTCCTGATACTAGTTTTCTTTCAATACAGCCAAAACAAATCCCTTGCTTTATCCACAAATAAAGAAAACGGCTTTTCTCAGTGCTTGCATACGTAAGAGTCCATTACCTATCTTTAGCTAGGCAGACAGATAAACGAGCAACTACTAGCTTTATGGGATAACTTACAAAGTCTTCGTCCAGGAGACTGGGAGTTTTACATAAATGTTATTTTACATTTGAGTAAACACCTGACAGATTAGGTTTTTTTTATGCAGTTCTGGAACTTTCTTTATATTAACAATGCGCTATGTCCAACTAGTAAGAAATAAATCCGGTATAAAAATGTCCATTATCTAGGGAAATCATAATTGGTTCACATATCAGCTTTCCTTGATAAATACCCCAATGAGCTAAGTAGATAATTGCAAAGTTCACAGAGTAGTAATTATATTCTAACTATAGCAATCAAGATGCTGACAAACTGAAGACCCGCTATATACATAAATAGGCCAATTGTGTTTACAGGTGAAAAGAAAGCTAACCTTTAGAAGATATTTATGTCATCCCTTAATTCAATCTACTGTGATTTACAGATTTTGTTTGTGGCATTTTCTAAATACTGCACTAAGACTCTGGTTTGACAAGATAAACAAACATGTATCTCACTGTAAGCAAGTGATTAGTTTCTTTGCCTTTTGTGGACTATTCTTTTTGACTTTGGCATATGCTTGCACTCCTTGCTGAACTGTGCTATAACCAACTCTGAACATGTAGTGACCTTAGTCTCTTTTTCTTCTTTCTCATCCAGTCAGAATTTGCCCGTGATTGTCTTTATGTAACTTTATGCAACTCAAATGATTCTTACTGTGCATTTTCATCTGCTGCCATGGTTGCGTTACTTTCACAGGTACAGCCAAAGTCCTGTTTCTACTGGGATGTAACTTATGAAATAGCATTTGACGAGTTTTGTTCCAGCAGAATTTTTTTGTTCTAGTCTCGCATTAACTCCAAAGAAGTTCACAGAAGCACAGAATGGCTGAGGCTGGAAGGGACCTCTGGAGATCATCTAGTCCAACAGCCCTGCTCAAGCAGGGTCAGCTAGAGCATATTACCCAGTAACTTCTGCCTCTTACTTCACTTTACCACATTTCGCTGATGATGAGGAAAAACATTAATTGTTTAAAAAAAAAAAAAGATTACTTTGCACTGAACATCCAAAAAAGATGACAGGACAAAGTAGATACTTTCTGTTTTATATTTAGAATAGAAATATGCCATGATTCATCTGCAATTTTCTGTCTTCTGCTGCTTTTGCAAAGAGACTAATATTTATTAAACTTATGCCCTTGATATTAAACTGTGAAACTTGTCATTTCTTTGGAAAAGGCATTTTCCTGCTTCTAAAATGTGCTCAATTTTGAGTGACTTCCCTTATTTTCAGAGAATTGTTCATTGGATCTTTACACTTTTCATCCTGTGTTTTTCTTGGTCAGCACAAAGAAACAAAATATAGAAAATGTAATATATCCTAAAATAAACCCAAAACCAAAAAAAGATACAAACTAATTCTTAGGCTTTTCATTACAGAAAACTCTAAAGGATTTTCATGAGCATTGCACCTGACTATTCTGGCAGAACTGAGAGATATTTTCCAGGCTGTAGTCTACTTGCTGAAAAATCTGTAAAAATATATTCATTATATTTGTGAACTTCACAGTACAGTAACACCAAATACAGTCCAAATGGCAGGATGTGGAAACAGTATCTTCCAAATAAGGTGGTGAACATAAGAATGAATGTCCTGTTTTTCTAACAGCACCTATCAGGAAACCCTGAAAAAACCCTCCTACCTTAGAAAAACACACAAATATGTCAAATTTTTCTTATTGTCAGTAGTCAGACGTTTGTTCCTTTTTTGCAGAATTATGCAGTTCTTTTAGTGAGTTTTTTCTTTCCTAAAATTAAACCTGTTCTGCCTACTGCCTCGTTCCTAGAATTAAACTCCTCTTTCCCCCTTCTGGCATGATGTGCTTCCCTTGGGATACGAATTATGCAATAGTTAGGCCCTTTCCACTCTTACCTGTACTTGAGAGCTCTCCTCATCCCTGGAAATCATCTCCAGATTCCTCCTCAGTTACAGCAGTCTTCTGCCTTTCAGCTAGATGCAGTCTCTCGATGGAAATTTTAATGCTATACTACTTTTTTAATGGTACACTTTTGTTTCATATTGCCCATACACTCCATTCTAACTAATCCTTTTTGAATACAGGGTCAACACGAGAAATCTCAAATTTTGCTCCTGTGGTCTCTTTAATATCATTGCTTTGGCACAGAACAGCAAAGGTCTTATGGCAGGCAATGATAAGCACAGATAACGTTTAACAACTGTTTTATTCAGTCACCAAGGATGTTATTACCCTTCACCATTTGATTAAACTTATGTTTTGAAGCAGCTCAACTAAGCAGTACAATAGTCAAAAATCGTATTTAGGCAGAGAATAACACTACATCAATTTTCATTTCTTTCAAAGTGCTTACAGTGAACTCATACAGAATGCAATCTACAGCACAGGTAAACTAGATGATGCAGCTTTTTGTTTGTTGTGAACACTGAGGTGGGGCTAGAGAAGAAGGGCAATTTAAAAGCTCTGTTGAAAAGAACTCCGGCCATTTTACACCATCCTAAGAGAGACTTCCATAATTGTAAGGCACCTAAGAATGACAATATCCCATCCACCTCTCTTATGGTGAACGTCTTGCTGAAACTACGGCATTTATAATAAAAGTATGAAAAGCACTGAAATTTTAAAATAGTTTCACTATCTTTTTCAAAAGAGAATAAAAAGACAGTACAAGTCTAGCCTAATCCTGTTCTCACTAGCAGCTTTACTTTAGAAGAAAAATAGGCAAATTTTCTCTTCAAAACACAACGTTTAGATCACACTTTACTTGCTTTTACTTGTTACTGTTTAAAAGATGAGACCTTAGGCAGCATACTACAGGCAGATGGTTCAAAGGAGACATTGCAGGTTCCTCATGTAACGACAGGACTGTACAAACGTTTTTCATCCAGACTCTCGTTCTGATTTTACATTTTACAAAGCTGCTGTAAGTATTAGGTTCTCAAGTCCTGGCATTACCAAAACTCCCATTGTTGGCAGAAGGATTTTTGGTGAATCACAAATACAAGGATTCAGACAAAACAGATTAAATCCTCTAAAAAAGAAAAGCATTTTGTAAAGTGATTATTATAGCAATCCTGATTCACTATTTTTCTAACTACCTAGAACATTGTACTTTAATGCCAACATTTATTTTAAGTGCATCCAGACCCTTTTCAGCACTTTGCAGAGCAACGTTTAAATTCACCAAATCTGGGAGAACATAATTTCTAGGAATTAAAGCAGTTTCACTAAGCAGTCTCAGCTTCTAGATAGGAAGGCAGACTAACAAAACAGACTTTCCATGAAAGAGCTGTGAGTAGCATTCTTCAGGATCAAACTAGCTTTTCACCATAAAGGCTTCCTACTATTTTCTCCTAAGAGCTCCATTTTCAAAATGCAGTCACATATCGCACTGGTACCTGTTTATTTTAATTGATCTGGCTGGAAGTTTGCTTTAGAATCTTGCTAAAACTGTGGTGAAGTCCTTACAGTATACAATCCCCTACTTCTCTTATTTACCTTCTTCCTCCTCAAATTACACTGTTTGCTTGCAGCTGAACTGAAGTTAGGGTGTGAGCACGCAAACTCTGTGTGAAAACAGGTGTGCAGTTTTGCTTACAAAATAAAAGACTAATTATTAACTTTGACAGCATGCTTGCAAAACAGGCACTCACAATGGGAGACCTGAGATAAGGCAGTGTAATAACTTCCCCACAGAAAATGAAGAGATAATTACTTTGAACACAAGAAGTGCTGTAGGCATAAAGACTTTGATGGTACAGTGTTTGTAAGGTGGCTCTTTTCAGCATTTTAATGGTATCCATTGCTGTATGATACTACCACCCAGAAGCTGTAAGTAGCTATCTTCACAACATTCCTCTAAAGTTAGGATGTCCTAGTTAATCTCATTTTGCAGTGAAGGACCTCATTTACAGAAAAGTTAAGTAGCTTTCTGAGGTCATACAGGAAGCTGTTCAAACACAGAGGCACATCTCAGTCTGAACTTTTATCTTTCAAGTAGTACGGTGCCACCCTCCATCACATTAGCTACGGCTAACTGGCAACATAAAACGTGAAATACAGTGGGAACACGAATAGGACTTGGACTCTAACCTAGTTTACGAAACGTGAAATACAGTTTCTGTACAGTTTACAGAAATACGAATAGGACTTGGACTCTAACCTAGTATTAATTTATGAGTGTGAGGAAATGTAGCAAAATGAGACTAACAATTCTCCTTACAGTTTCTAACCTTTCTTATCTCTTAACTAATTTCTAGGATTTATTTTATCCACAAACCTGTGGCAGACACACTTGACCAAGATTTGCTTCATATCTCTAAGCCTGCAATGACATCAGAGGGCTGCCTAGGTTCAATTAAGGGCTGTGTTGTTTCCATATCATAATCAACACTGCACAGTAAAAGCAGGCTACTAAAATCTGAATACACTGAAAAGTTCCTACGAAATAAAGAACAAATAAAGACGTGAAGGTGCTTAAAATATAAATAAAATGACAAATTCAGGGAAATACTTCAGCTGCTTTAGGCAATGACTTTCAAGGACTCCGTAGGTAAAGTCATTTTGCTGTATCTGTAATGTTCCCTGTATAGGATAATCTAATATAGCACAAACCATTTAAAGGACAATAGCCTCCTCCTTTTTTCCTAGAGGAAAAAAAACAGACAAACAAACAATTCATCTGGGGTAAAGAATGAGCAGACTGCACTGCCAGCCACATAGAGTCCCTCAGACCACTGCACTGCTCAAACACTCATTCACATCTGAAGCGCATCAGGGGGAGCTGGTGGCTGCCCTTCAGAATGACTCCCTCTGGTCTTCTCATCAGTCCCTTTCAGACAGGAATGGAATCTGTATTAAAACATGTAAGGAACCATACTTTCTCTCTCTCTGTCTGGGAAGAGATGTGAAGACAACTGGTGGTCTAACTCCTAGTCCTCCTCCATATGTCCCACACAGACCAGACTGGGCAGGTACACAGATGGCATGTGGTTTTACCTGTTCATTGCTTTCTTAACCTTGCTTAACGATTAAGTTAGGCACCAACTGCAAACTGTGTGTATATGATTTATCAGGTTCAAATTTCAATTTGTAGCCAAACAGCACCTTCATCTTGGTGTTTGTTTTCAGTATTAGGAAGTCTGCTGTTGGAAAAGCAAGAGATTTCATTGCTGAGGAGGATTCTTACAGATCCTTGTTTCAAAATTTGCCAGTTTTGCAGAACACCCCCCACCCAGTCCTCTGCTCATGCGTATTTTCCGTTTAGAACAAAATAGATTCTATTTTTTTTTAATTATATAGCATAAAAAATGAGTTGAGAAAAAGTATTTATTATCTCTGTACTCTTTTGCAGAAACATCAACAAACTGTTTTTTCAGCATGGGGCAAGCACAAACCTATAGTGACAGCTTTGTAAAACGAACTAGAATGTCACTTTCCTAAGAGCTGAGTTTGTAGCAGTACTGGTTGGGTTTGACTGAAAGGTTAAGGAGAGATGCTGGGAATTCGTTTCACTTTCCATGCGTTCTGATTTTTCACTTCCAAAGCACATAATCATGTAGCAGTTCAAAGAAAACACACGAAAGAGGAGCAGCCTGTCATTAAATGAATGTGTTGCTAATGATGACTAGCTGATTAAGTACCACAATTTTTTTTCAAATTCATTCGATTCCTACCTGCCTGAGTCTTGATCTTAAGCTGCCACTGTGTCTATCATCATCAATGGCTAACACCATGCAATCCCAGAGCAAGGAGAACTCTTGAAACATTCCATCGAGGTTTTGCCTACATGGTTCCTACAATATCAGCCATGAATTGTCTTGTGTAACATTGAAAAAAGCCTTGAATTCTTGTTCTTTTCAAGAGAAAAATATCAGAGAAACAGATCAGTTCCCAAACACACAGGTGCAAACACATGGTTTTTGTTGTACGTCCCAAGACAGTATCACAATACTTTCTTTTATTCTCAGTAAAGAACATCTAAGCTGCTCACACCGGACCCACAATAGTTGTCTCTGTTTTCAAAATGTACGACACAGAGGAAATTGAGTTTTGTCCCATGTTTTCCCACTCTCCAAACAAAACAGACAGACAGACAGACAGATAGATAGAAAGGATTGTCTTTTTGTAATGTATTTGGTTCACAGCTACTCCCAATGCCTGACTGAATTCTCTCCAGGCACAGTGCAATATACATTGGAAGAGATGATCAAAATGCACAAGTTTTATATAAATAAGGCATTTTCAGAATTTTTCATGCAACAAGAACAATAACAAAATAAAGTATTTTGTATGGGAGGAGCATCTCAAAACCTACTCCAAGTATCAGGCGCTGAAAGTGAAATGAAAATGAAATAAAAAATGATGGATCACGCCACAAAGGCTTCACAATCTAACTGCAAAAATAAGTCAGTTAAGAAGCCATAGTTATAGTATACAAGCTGCGCAGCCAGATTTTCCAGTTAGCCTGAGAAGAGTAAATTTTAATAAGACATATTAAATACTATTTTCTTTGACCTGTTTAAGATTATGTAGCTGTTAATCTTTTTAGAATGTTACAAAAAGCAACAGGTGCTTTTATGAGAGAAGGACTAAGTTTGTAGCCATTCCAGAAAAGTAATATATTACAGATTAATTTGGAAAAATGTATAGTGACTAGAGAAGTATATGATAAAATTTGCTCCACCTGGCATGGTGAATGAAGTTAGGAACATCTTAACTTCTAATACTGAATTCTAAACAATATTTTTTTAAAAAATTGAATTTGTTAATGATACTATTACAGTAATACTGCATTTACTTTCATATCCATACTATGAAAGAAATGCAATTTGCCTGATGCTTTAATTTTCTTGTGTTTTCTAGCTATTGATGAACTACCCTTTCAGTGATGTTAGACAACATTTTGTGTGATAGATAGTGCTTCATTATAAGATGCAAAAGGAAGTGAACATGTAACATTCAGGGTTACATTTTAATTTAAGGATTTTTGTATGAGTGGAATACCAATTTAAGGTATTTTCAAGGTGAGATCATCATTATGCATCTCCAGCAATTCAGTCAAGATAAAATCTGATTCATACCTCACATTAGTAAGGGTACCACAAGGCCAAGTATTAGAAAGCCTACTTGTTTATAACTACAGCTTACTGTTGAGCTCTGGTCCTTGAAGAACTTCTTTTTCAGAAGGTTTGTGACATAAACTTGAGAAGCTTTTTACAACTTGCAAGAACTCCATCATCTTTGGAAAACAGTAAACTAATGATGCCAATAAACGAAGCTGAAGAAGTGACCCTGTAAAGACAAAAATAGCAGCGTGGTATGCTTACAGTCAAAGGAAAAGGTACGATCATTTTGATCACCTGACACCTAGTAACAAAGAGAGTTGCAGTGGGTCCAGTCCTCTTCCCAAAGACTTAAGTGAAACATTCCATTTGAACTCCCCTGTACAGACAGAAGTATTTAAAAGACAACTGGAAAAAAAGGAAAATACATTTATTCAGCACTCATATTATGGACAAGAATTAAATTCAGGAACAGAAATCAGAATTCCAATTGGATTATGACTCAGCACATCAAAAATGGACACAGAAGGCAAGCTTTTCAATATGTCTCCTGAGATGAACTTAAGCCTGATTAGACTTCACAGCAAAGCAAATTCAAAAAAGATTTAAAATTCCGGCAGAAAGGTAGGTAGCAGGGACAAATCCTTAGTAAAAATAATGCTTAATCTCCTTTTAAAATAAAAATTGCTTAATTTTCTTGTCTGCATTTCTGCATTACAAAGAAGCGTATACGTCTCTCTTATGCCACCTCTGGCTCACCACACCTTTATCCTTTAAACTCAGCCTCCCAGATGTCACACATTTTCCTTGAGGCCAGACAACTACTTTTTTTTTTTTTTTTTAATAAATTGTCACAACATATGTATCACCTGACTACAGAGCCACACAAGTATCCATTTGTTAGTCATGGATGATGAATATTTTAAAAGTATGGAGAGAAATCAAGACAAGTTATAAGTAAATGCTGCTAAGAAACAACCATGAACATTCACTGTGATCTCCAGTCAAGTTTTCTGAAGAGTCATACACATTCCCTTTTTGGATTTTCTTTCTATAAACATTTGTGCATTTAAATTTTGCTGGCATGAATCTCCAAGAAGAAAGAATCAAAATCACATGGGTGTATAATTGCAGGTATTGAATCTTACATTTATTCACATGAATACTTACAATAGAAATGTTTTCTCATGTCCTCAGTCAAGCAAGTAGAAATAATCAGTTAAATCAGTTAGTCAGGATCACTCAATGAGTATGAAACTTACCCCACAAATCAGTGTCAGTACAAGATCTTGAATTTCCTTATAGCTTATGTAAGGACAATCTCTATGCTAAGTGATATTGATTTTAATCTATATCTCTTTTTTAGATGAAGGATCACCTTAAAGAAGGTCAAAGATCAGATGTGAAAAATGTAATTTCAAAGATAAAGGACTCTTTATCTCAGAAGTAGACAATCTGTAAACAAGAAGTACCTAAAAACTATACCATTCCTAAACTATCCTCAAAATGGACTGAATTCTTCAAGCTGTGTGTGGAGAGTGATCAATTTTAAAGCTAGGTCCTGTCAATCACGCTTTTTGTAATACCACTGGTAAAACTACGGATTTCAGTAAACAGTAGCTTCAAAGTAGAAATCCTTTAAAGGATAAATATTTCAGCATCATTTTGAGGTGGTTGTTTTTATTCCATTATTTATTCTCCTGCTATTTTCTCTTTGAACTCCAACCATATAACAAAACATTTTATATTCATCTGACTTATTCTCAGATTGTTCCTGAAATAAATGTTGGAAACAAACAACAAGTGCTGAATTGTTACTTTATTGTAACATCGCCTCCCATCGATTTATCTGAAGGACTCCAAATCAGGAACTGTAAATACTAAACTCTGAATATTTTCAAAATTCTATTTGTGCAGAACAGCAGTGATGTGGATTTGTAATCCCAAAGTACTTACAGGCCTTTCTCAGTCCCACCTTTACCCATTCGTTTGACTTGCAATTCATTTTTTCTGATATATATGCAATGACAGATAAAAACTGACAGATAAAAAGTTTATAAAATCAGGATAACTTGGCAGTTTTTAAAAAGAACAACCCTGCCACTTCCCCCATAACTACTTTGGCTCAACGGCTACCGAACTGACAAAATTTGTGATCTAGTCTACTAGTTACTTACTGGAACCTGTGAAGTCAGGTAATATACGGGATTTTTTTGGAGAAGCGTATCCTTCTTCTCTCCTATTTAAATTTTGCAGTGATGTATTCTCAGACCTAAATTATTCAGCACTGTATATGTTAAACACGCAGCATTTGAGTAGTATCACTCAGTAACAGCAACACAAATTATTTCACGGGCTCACAACATTAATGAAAGCTTGCTCCTCCTTCCCGCCCTTGTTTCTTTTCTTTTTTGGTAAATAAACCAGAAATTATTAGTAAATATCTGTCTAAAGTCCCCACCTTGGATTTTTTTTTTTTCCATAAATCAAGATTTGGTGCTAGGGGTTATGAAAACAAGTCGTCTTCTTCTGAGACACATGCCAATGTCCACTAGATGCAACAAACTTTCTTTAAAAGACCATGAGGTCGTCTGAATTAAATGCACTGTTCCTACATGTTCTAGTAATTAGGCTTCGTTCTCAGAATTCTTACATTTTTCAGAATAATGGATCTTACAGAGTTATCATCTGAAGTTTTATAAAGACTGATAGTATACCCACTTACAGGAAACCATTAAAGGAAATATTCATTATTTTCAGAAAGAGTCCTATTTCAAATACATTCTATAATCTAACTTTAAACTCACTCATATTTCACCACTTCTAAATCATCTTCTACTATTTGAAAGCAAAGTCTACTTTTTTCTTGCTTTCCTCTATTACCTAAAAGAGGATTAATATGTTAAACAATACCGTGATTGCTTCTATGTATCATAGTGGGTTTCCAAAACAAGTTAATGCCTGCTGAAAATTGAAGTTAATTAGGTGGGGAGGTTTCCTAATATTGTATCATTACTAATTCAGATATTCCAGCTTAGTAGCAAATACCACTGATTTCAGTTGTAAACGTAAAAACGTAACTGATCATGTTCCTGTTATGCGCTGTTGCAGAGAGAGACAATCTGTATGTGGCAGGTGATGGCACAACACACGTTAAGCCAGATCATTACCAGCTACCTTAACCTTGTTCCCTCAACAAGACTAACCTTGAGAAAGGTAGAGATGAGCACATGAAACAGTTTCCATTCCAGTTTACTCCTTAACCTGTCTTCTAAGACTGTGTACAAAATTTGTCAAAACTGGGCTTTTGTAAGATGGGAACGACTTCTACTCGGTGTAGGAATGAGATCAACACATTTGACAGGTACATCTAATACAAGATAGTTTTGTCATTCCTGATTCAAATTGTTGTCTGGCTTTGAATCTACTTTTATATTTTGAAAAGTTACAGTGCAGAGATGTTACTTATAATTGTTGTGTAGTATGGCAACAGAAAAAAAAAATCACAAAGAGGAAGAGAAGTTCAAATAAAAGGGGTGCAAATACCAGAGAGCTGTAAAGAGCCATTAATGTTCTTTTGTTCTCCCACACTATAGCAGTTTGGTTTGATTTCAGTCAGTTTATCACAATTACTTCAGAAACTTACAAAAATTGCTGATGTATGATTCATGGGTTCAGAAAGTTAAACAGAAGTATTGATTATAACATATAGTTTGTGTATACTAATATCATCTAAAGGACTTACCTGAGAATGGGTTCCAACTGTGTGTAAAAACAAGAAAAAGTCTCTGACACTCTGGAGTGGTGATTTTGTAAGTGTGGATCCATATCTGTTGAACAAGAATGAATGAACCTTTTTGGACTAATGAGAATTAATTTATTGGAAATTAATGGAACCATTTGCTTGGGGGAATCATCTATTTCATGTCAGATGTTAAGAGATGAACTGCAGAAGAATTTGGTAACGTATTATTTTGTATTCAGAATACAAATCAAAATGGAAGAGGAAAGAAGTCAGGAAGACAAAATGAACAAGTTACATTTTAGATTTCCATAGCTGCCACCAAAAACAACACATAAGGCTTAAATTTGAAAACTCTGGTTTGCTTTTGTTCAATGTCTTCACAGAAGACGCTGAAAAGAGCTAGAATAGAATACGTCAATCAGAGAAGAAAATAATATATTTCGTAATAACCTTCAACTCAGATATGCAGTTGATTTCAACAGGCTGAAGACTGTGAAAATTGATTATTCCAAATAAATTCACTCATGAGAGCGGTCCCATTGTATATATCTGTGTTAACTAAAAAAATTCCGTGTTAAAAACATCTGACAAAAATTAAGCAAACATTTTTAATTTAACAATGTATTTTTCTTCAGCTGTACGTTCAAGTGAACAAAAATTGAGAGTTATTTTTTACTTTCCAAGGAGCTGCAACAAGTCAAGCTCCAGAAGATTGCCAAGACAGTCAGAAATGAACTATATGAAATGAAATGACAACTGGACTGGCTATGCCATATTCAGGCTGTGTTTCAGGCCTCAAACCTGCTATCTTTTTTGTAATACTCATAAGCCTTTAATCCTACAAAACATTCGGTATGCAACTATAGGGCTAGCTGTGTCTTTAAGCACACAGACGCAAGTAAAGCGTGCTATGTATGACGTGCCCAGCCCTGGGAGGTATTATGCATGATTCAAATAAGAGTCTTTCCCTCTTTTGCACTTGCTGGCACAGGCATTGATTTATACTGGACTATATTTGTAACAAATCATGGCACCCTTGCATCAAGCCAGCTGTTCTCTTCTCCCCCGTACTTGCTTCTTTGCAGCCATATCCACCCAGCAGGTGCACCTACTTTGCAAAGTAGTAAAGGTCTGAGCCTTTTCTCAAGTTCAGATTCCTCCTGTTTACATGCTTCCATGTTTAAATGGACCAAACACCAGCAGTCAAAAGACACCGCAGACTTATCCATGCACGTGTACTCCAATAAAAATTCTTCCTAAGCGCCATGTGGATGATCTAAGCCTGACCTGTATCTAGGCTGACTGCCAGTAAACATGAATGGAAAGGGTATAGATCACAGGGCTTTTTATATTTAATGGGCTCTTTACCCTGCAGAACATCATCATAGCATTTTCTTTTCCAGAACCTTGGGGCTAATTTTTTTTTTTAAACTGAAACAGCATAAAATTTTGTGGCAAAATATCTTTAAC